CTGGAGGTAGGTGTGAGTGCCTTTGTAAAGGTGGCTGCTGCTTAGGCCCAAATGTTTGCTGTTCTATGGAAAGGGGCCCAGCCTTGCCAAATCTTCCAAGAAGCTGGAAATCTGAATTTTTTATATAAAATTTCCAAAGTTTTAAATATCATTAATTAAAATTTTTCTAAGTCACTTGAAACCCAAACAAAATATATGTCCAGGTTGGCTCTGCCTCCCACCTCAGTCTATAAACCCCCATTTAAGACGTCTGCCCTGTCCCTGAGCACTGCATTCCAGGCACATCTGCCATGTTTCTAGCCTTGGGCAAGTCTTTGGGGGCCTCAGCCGGCCCCTATACCCCATCCAGGAGTGACCCCAGATCACTTTACCAGATAGGATTTATACGCCAGCAGTGACTTGGGGCTAAGCCAGGCCCTTTGACTGCTTTGGCACAATTCACAAGAATGGCTGGGAGCGGGGTTAGCTCAGTGGCACCGCACGTGCCTGGCAAAGCGCAAGGTCCTGAGTTCAATCCCTGGTACCAAAACAAAATAATAATAATGGTTCCGGAGTGGAGGAGTTGTCCCCAGCATGGTCCCTATCTTTCTGGCCAAACAACCCTAGCAGTATGAGCTACCTCCTCTGAGCTTCGGTAGTCTCTGCCACATGAGATAAAAGCAATGCTTCGCCACCTGCAGGAGCGCATCTGGTACAGCCAGCACTGCCCAATGGGAGGGTTTCCTTCTCCCCCATCAGCCCTCTCCTAGAGGACAGGCAAGAGGGGGCCAAAGGGACCAGATGAGTTGATAGTTGGCCCATTTTGAATGTTTTGAATGGCAGAACAAGGGCTTCTGTCTCTCACCGCTGTCCTGCTGAACCCCCTTTGCCATAGGCCCCCCTCTCGGAAACCCTCTGTACTAGAGGAGGGGCTTCCAGTGAGCCACAAGTGCAGAGCACAGAAAGGCCAGATCACAGGCTCGGGAAGCTGAACTCCATGAGGCAGACAAAACACCTCCTTTCTGTGACTCCAGCAACCCAGGATGTCAGACAAGACAACCAAAGCCTGGTGCCCACAGCAGCCCTCTATCTGTTACCTCACTGCAACCTCCTTCCTGGATCCGAGTGCCGGAGCAGCAGCTGTGCCACCAAGTGGCAGAGGGGCTTTGCTGTAGCGCTATGGCAGAGATGGTCACATAAGAGCAGTGGCTTTATAAAGAATCAGGCACAGAAGTGCATGCCTGTGATCCCAGCACTCTGGGAAATTGAGGCAAGAGGACTACAAGCCCAGGCCCAACCAGGTGCCTCCAACTCCATGCAAGCTTAGAGCTCTCCAGGGCTGGCACTGAGGCCTTGCTCACCAGCTGGAAGGGACTCAACCTGGGGAGTGGGAGAGAGCAGTTCAGCCCTAAGCAGAAGAAATCGCTGGGACAAAGGAGTACTTCATCAGAGCAGAATAACCAGGAGCACTTGAAAATTGGGCTAAATTAAACTGGGAATGACCATCAGCAGGCCCTTAGGGGCCTTGCTGTGATTTCTACCCAAGGGCAGGGTGGGGCTGCATTCCTTGGCCTCTCCTATGGGGTCAGCGCCTTTGGCCTTGGCACCTAGCAGAGGGCTGCACACAGCTAGCATTCAGGTGGCCAGCACCAAGGCAGTGCAAACAAACTCACCAAGCCAGGTGGGCGGGAGTTGCTAGCACAGCGCAGCAGATGCTGCTCCCCTCCACCGGGACACAGCGCGTGCCAGGCACCATGCCAGACACTTTACATACATTCTTTCATGTAATCCTTTTGGTAGCCGGGAGGTGGGTCCTGCTCACACTCCTATCTTGCCAACCTGAAGACAGGTTTAGGGGAGGGCGGAAGCTCATGGGATGGGGGTGAGGGGCATTTAGCGAGGGTGGAGAGCTAGCTTTCCCAGCCAGAGCTCCAAGAGCCACCAAGAGGCCAGCTAATGGGACATGGGGGAAGACAAAGGCTCAAGGCAAGCTGAGGCCACAAATGGCCAGCAGAAGGCTAAACAAGGCACCAGGAAGGGGGCCTCTCAGTGGCCTTGACACTGGGTGCCTGCTGCAGGGTCAGAGGACCAGCAGCTGCTTAGTGCCAAGGGCCCTGCTCTCTCTTCTCAGTGGGGTTTTAGTAACTGCAATTTGTAGGCCATGGGTTTCTTTCCAATCTGCTTCAGACCCTGTGTCCAAAGTGAGACACTTCTGGGACAGGGGAACATAAATACCTCACATTTTGGTGATTTAATTACCAAATAAGGAGACCTATAGGGCCACAGTTAACCACAGGAGCAGGTCTGGTTCACTTCTTCCAATGTGGGCAGGCTGAGGGCCCTGTGTGAGTGGCCCTCCTGTTCCTGACCACACACTCTGCTCCTTGGACATCACATGGCAGTTTCTGATGCAAAAGAACTCAAATTCTGCACTCTTCAAGGAACCATGCCTTTCATAGAGACATTCAGCTGACTCCAGAGTCCCCACACACTGTCCTCTCCTGACCATTGGGTGAGACCACAACACCTCTCCACCCGGGGGCCCTAAGAATGTGCTGGTCACCAACAGTAATGAGGCTCTCGATGTGGGACCCCAGAGGCAAAGCACACCGGGAGCTCCACTTCAAGGACTGTTTTAAACCACAGACATAGTGCATGATGGCATTGGGTCCTGGGGGTCAGGAGATTCAGGGGAGGGCAGGTGACAGGAAAGGGGGTATGGTCTCCAGTTCCATGCCCCTCTCCCTAGAGGCATGTGCAAGAAGGGCCCCAAGGGCCCCAGGCCAAGCATCCCATGGCCACTATGGGCCTGCCCAGAATGGGCACAGTGCCAGGAACATCTAACAAGCCCCCAGGGAGGAGGCAAGAAGCTGCCTGGGGCCACACTCAGAGAGTGCATCTGTTCAGCCACCAGGAATGCCCCTTGGAGACTCCCAGGCAGCCCAAGGACCTGTGCAAGGGCCAGGCAGAAGCCCAGAGAGGGGGAGCACTCGAGGTGTGCAGTTCAGTCAAGTGTGGATGTGTGTTCACAAGCTCAGGTGGCTGGGGTACAGCTCAATTACTCCAGGGCTTTGGTAGAACCAGAAAACAGGACCCCTCTGGGCAGGGCTTGCCCCAAGAACACAGTAGAATGGTTCTTTTTCTCTAGGATCCCCAGCCTGAAGAATAGTATGGCCTGCATTTCAGGCCCTCTCAACCCCTCACTGGACACCTCAGCACAGTGCACAAGACACATAGCCATCTGCTGCAGCCTACAAATGAATAGGGATGAACTACGTAGGGGATGCTCACAGGTGACAGGCGTCCCCACTATGGCCCAGGCCTAGTAACAAAACTGCTCAATTGGGCCCACTCCTAGGGCTGTGTGCCTAATGCCCATGCTTCGAAGCAGGTCCTCTTGCTCCACCCCCCCACCCCACCCCCCACAGTCAGTCGTTCCCGACTCTGCTTTCTTTTCATCCTGAGAGTGGCCCCTTCCAGTTCCCATGCAGGACATAGCCCTGGCCACCTGGCTCAGCTTTCCCAGGACACAAAGAGTCTATCGGGGCATCTGTCCCCTCCTCACCTCCTCACCTTCTCCCAAGAAGGAGAGGGATTTGTGACCACAACAGACGGAGCAAGGTCGCAGGCCTGGATCCGGACACACCTGTCCTTCCTCACTCCCAGCTGGGGGACCTAGGGGCTGTGGTCACACTAACACCCCAGCACCGCCCCCACCCCCACCGTGGCAGAACCACCCAGCTCTGCACAGGATGTGCATAACAAGAAACAGAACTAACATCTGTAGAGCGGTTTCTGTACCAAGCCCTGTCCTAAGGACTTTTCAAACAAGTAATGATTTAACTCTCCCAACCTTGAGCTAGTTGCTATAATTATCCCTATTTTACAGATGAGGAAATCAAGGCCCAGGGAGATTAAGTAGCTTGCTCAAGGTCACATGGGTACTAAGTGGCTGGAACCCAGACCATCAGCAATGTTTCCGATAGAGGTTCAGATAGGCTTACTTGGGGCCACCGGGGCCCTGCCTTAATTTACGTGCTGATTCCAACCTTTCCTTTTGTAAATAAGATGCTTTTGAGGGTGTGGATGCTATAAGGAGAAGGAAATCTGGTACCGTTTGTCTGTAACCTCTAATTTATACATGTTTTATCCTAATTCATTCGATGTGACAATTAACGGGTTAAATGGCTTGGAGAAACAACATCTGCCAGGCATTTATCAGCCTGATGCCCAGGTAACACACCTAGTTTCAGTGAATCGGCAAGATACCTTTGCAAGGTACCTGCACTGAGCCCATTCTGCAAATGTGAAACCCCTGCAGGTAGCAGAAGGTAATCTCTTGCCCAGTAGCAGACACAGGCTTGGGAGCCAGATTCTCTGATCCTAAAGCCCAAGGGGCCGAGAAGCGTTGGAGAAGCTTCGAGATGAAAGAGAGCAGACAGTGGAGAGAGGAGAGGGCTGGAAAGGGGTGTTCGTAGAGGCAGAGCCCAGTACCAGGAAAGGAACCTCCTCACCAAGACGGTACTCCTAGATCATTCTAAGGAAGATCATTTGGGGATGTAGGGACCCAGGGCTGTCTGGTGGCTCCCAAGGTCGGGGGCAGCGGGGGTGGTGGTGGTGGTGGTCAGGGACCAAGGGGCGTGGAGCAGGGATCAGGCGCCAGGCCGCCCGCCGCGGTTTCTGGCCCTGCCGTGACTTGCTGGGAAAACCAGAACCCCAGTGTTTATAGTGGTTCAAGCGCCGCCCCAGCCCCCTCCACCCCGCGCCGAGCTCTGGTCAGCATCAAAGACTAGCAGGTCGAGCCAGCGGAGAGTGGGGGGTGGCACCGGGGACCCCAGGGACCCCGCCGCCCCCGGAGCGCGCGCTGCTGGGGACCCCCTCCCTCCCGGTCAGGAACGAAAACGGAAGAGAGGGCCAGCAGCCCCGCAGGCCCCTAGCATCGCGGGGACAGAGGAGGGGTCCGCGCCCCGGCCCTCCAGTCTCTCCTTTGTCGCCCCGCCCCGCCGGGTCGCGGCACTCACCCAGAGGCAGGCTGATCCGGGGGCCGCGCACCCGCGCCGAGGCCGGCGACAGGAGCAGCACAGCGAGCAGGAGCAGCGGTGGGGCGCGGGGTGGGCTCGGCCGGGCCATTACTGGGCGTCAGGCTCGGCTCAGCGCGGCCAGCAACGGCGTCCTGTGGCTCGGGCTCAGGTGGCTCCACTGGCGTCTCTGGCTGCGGCCCCGCCCCGCAGCCCTGCCCCCGAGCCGCAGGAGCGTAGGCCTCCGCCTCCGGACCTGGCTGGCGGGCTGGCGGGCTGGCGGGCTGGCGGGCTGGCGCGCGGGGGGGGGGGGCGCCGGTCACGTGCGCAGCCGCGGGCGCGGGGGTCCCCGGGGTCCTCAGAGCGCAGTGCTCGGGCCGAGCGCGCGTCCACTGCCGGGCGCGGACGGGACCCATACAGTGAGGGAAGAAAGAGTCCGGGCCTGCCCCTCTGGGCTCTCTCCGGCCGGCCCGCCCCTTCCCCTTCCCCTTCCCCCTCCTTCCTGGGCGCTGGAAGTCCTCGGGGCTCCGGCTAGCGGCAGCCAGCTCGGGGGTGCCTGGAGGGGCCCCCACCACCATCTCCCGGACCCTCCCACCGCCCCAGGCCGGGCTCCCTGAAGCCCCCTGGGGACTCTCTGGCAGCCCGTGGTCTGGGCACTGTGGCCTGAGGAAGGTTAGGCCTCGTCTCTTTCCTTTATGTTCCCGCCCCGCGCAGGCCCCTGACACCCACCTGTATGACCTGGTGCACTCGTGCACTCGGCGGAGCTGAGGGAGGCGCCAGGGCCTGTAGCTTGCGAGTCTTGTCTCCGCGCGCGGGTCGGTCCACTGCAGGTCTTGGCTGGGCGTGCGCTGCGCGCTCGGCACTTAGTCCTGGTTCCCTGCGAGGCTGTCCGTGCTTAGAATTCTGTCCACGCGAAACCCCGAGGGCGGGGCAAAATTAGCTTAAGTGGGATAAGAGGATTTTTTAAAATAGGATTTAATGTACTACGCTGCCAAGGGGCTGAGTCCTTCACATCTCGCACGTGGCCTGGGAAGGGACAGGACCCTCGAAGGCCGCAGTGCAATCCGAGAGGCGACCAGCTGCCAGCCTCCTGGCTACTAGGTCCCTGCCCGGGAGCTCAGCTCTGCTGGGCTCCAGGAGTTCCCCACTGACAACTTTGACCCCTCAGGGGATTCTTAAGTCAATAGAGTTGGAGCTCCATTAGCATTACAAAACACAAAAACCGAGACGACGTCGGAGTGCCCAGATCGTAAGATAAGTGGTTTTGGGGAAACCTGTTTCAGCTTTTCCTGAGTGCACAGGATTTTACAGTAAGATGTAACTTCTTCTGTAGCTACAGCCAAATGGAGTTTGAAAACCACCAGTCACTTCCGTGGCACTGGGGACCACTTCTCCAGGAATTGGCTGCAATTGTAGGCATCTTCCCTTCAGCCCCAGCCAAAATCACTATCCTCAGAGCCACATCCTTTCTGGTCCTCCCCACCCCCAGGGTCTGCCACATCCTATCCCCCAGCAGGTGGCCATCTGAGGGTGGGCAGAGCACTCAGACAGGACTCCAGGTGTTTCCTGCAGCCATGGTCCTCCAGATCAGTGAACCCCCGCCTTCCCACACCCTTCTGTGGACCCCCAGCCAGCTCCCAGCACCCCTATTGCTGGCACCCAGCACCTATAGGTCTCTCATTGCCCAGGTCTTGGATGCTTTACCTCTATTAATGGGGCCAGTGCCTCTATAGCCAAAGGTGTCCCTGATTCTTTCCATGGGCTGGACCTCTGCTCTGTCCTGAATTCCAAGGGCCTCAACATTTCCACTTGGCTGACAGGCACCTCAAGCCCAACATGTCCCAAAAGAAGATCCTGATCTCTACCCTTTCTCCCCCCAAACAGGCTCCACCTGCAGCCTTCCCCAATCTCATCTAATGCAACTCCATCTTTAAATTGCTTTGGCTAAAAAATTTAACTCCTGTCTTTTCTCTCACTCACATCCAATTCACTAGCAAATCCACATTCTGACAACTTACTACCTCCCCAGGCCCTGCCTTTTTCCCCTGGTTAACTCGGAGAGCCTTCTAGCTGGTCTCTTTGCTTCCTCCCTTACTCTCTTATAATCTGTTCTCAATACTGCAGCCACAGTGAGGCTTTAGAAGGGAAAGTCAGAGCTGGGCATGGTGGCTAACACCTGTAGTCCCAGCACTCTAGAGTCTGAGCCAGGAGGACTGCTTGGTGAGGTCAAGGCCAGCTTGAACTACATAGCAAGACCCTGTCTCAAACAAACAAGATAAAAGTGAAAGTCAGGTCATGGCTCTCCTTTGCTCAAAACCCTTGAATGAGCTGGTCATGGTGGCACACACCTGTTAATCTCATCACTCAGGAAGGATGAGACAGAGGATCCCAAGTTCCAGCCCAGCCATGGCATCTTAGTGACCCAGTGAGACTTGTCTTAAAATAAAAAATAGGGCCAGGGATTTTAGCTCAGTGGTTCCACCTCCTGCCTCGCAAGCGCAAGGTCCTGAGGTCGATCCCTGGTACCAAAAGGGGGGGGGGTGCCCCTGGAGATGTAGCTGAGTGTGAATCATCAGTATCATAAAATAAAAAAACTCCAAATGGTCCCCCATCTCAGGGAGGGCAAAGGATGAGGGGCGGGGCAGGGATGAGTGCTGGTTGGGTTTGTTAACATATCCCAGGCATCTACAACAGTGCCTGACACATGATAGGTAGGCCTTCAACAAATATTGGCTGAATAAATGAATGAGTGAATGTTACCTAAGAGACAGAATACTGCTGGCTCATGTTAACCAACAACCAAAACTACTCTGATACTAACTTCGATCAAGTAAAGACTGTCCCCAAACCTAAAGTTATGTAATTAACTTTTTCAAAGTAGCCCAGGACTTCATAATTCTCTCCCTGAATTCTATTGGTGCTGACCCAGATTTCATCCGCTGAGGTCATTCAGAGTATTGATTCTATTATACATTTGGCTTCTGCCAGTTTTGAGTCATCTGTAAATTTGATTAAGCCTCCCTTCTGCCTTTAGAAGTCATTGATAAAAACAATACCCAAGCAGACACAGCACCCAGATCTTTGTTTCCACATACCACCCACTGTCCAGTGAAAGGAACCAGGACCCCTTGGAGAATGAAAGGGAAAGTGCATGATAAACATAGCATTTTCTTGTGCCAGAAAGCTTAAAAAAATAAAAATAAATAAAAGAGGTCAAGTCAAAACCATATAAGAGCCAGCTTGATGGCCACTTCGAACATGGAATAGCCAAATGAAAGAATAGATTCTAATGCACCAAATTAAAATACATTAGTGCACAGTGAAACTCAGAGAGGGAATTAGAAGGGGTAGAAAGGAAGCTTTTCGCTACAGAAAAATGCTGCCTAGAGGCAACCCACTTTCTGGGCCCCCTTCTGTCTCTCTTAGAAGCTATCTTTCTCTCAGTAAATTTTTCCTACTCTAAAAAAAAAATGCTGGCTAATAAATGTAGAAGAAATGGTAAGATTAGAAAAATCTAGATTCAAGCAAGGATCATTGGTCAATGGGGGACCATGGGGTGGCAGATTGTGGAAACTACATATTAAACAAGGTTTTGAGGTGTATCCTACTGATGACTTAGTAATGACCAAAGGGAGAATGTGTCCTTACGGGAGAGGTCTGGTGCCCACCAGCTTAACCAAGTGGTCACAAGTAGCATCGCCAGCAGTAGGACTATGTGACACAACTTATGTTCTGGTAGGAGATAAGAAGTAACACCAATCCTCGTGGTGTCCTTGCCAAAAGTATTTAACCCAGATCTATTAATGAAGACACAAGCAGATCATCCAGCAAGAGGAAGATTCTACAAGGCGACTTGGTCTCTTCAAAAAGGTATGACTGGGCTGGGCATGGAGCTCAGTGGTAGAGTACTTCCTTAATGTGCATGAGGCCCTGTGTTCAATTCCCAGGATGACAGAGAGAGAGAGAGAGAGAGAGAGAGAGAGAGAGAGAGAGAGAGAGAGAGAGAATCAATCTGGTGGCAGAAGAGACCAGGACTGTTTTAGGATGGGACTAAAAAGACATAATAATCAGACATAATATGTGAACCTTAATTAAATCTTGGGTGAAAAAAGCCATGGTGCAATTGGGAAGCTTTTAAAATGGACTGCAGATTAGATGATATTGGCTTTACTGTTTATTTTCTTAGGCATGAGAATGGTATTTCTTAGATACCATAGAGTCTTTAAGGGTCAGGGATATAGCTCAGTGGTGCCATGCCTGCCTGGCAAGCTTGTCGTCCTGAGTTTGATTCCCAATACTGGGGGGAAAAAAAAAGAGTCTTTATTTTTTAGAGATGCCTGAAGCTTATTATTTATTTATTTATTGGAGACAGGGGTCGTACCATGTACCCCAGGCTGGACTCGAACTCACAGTGATCCTCCTGCCTCAGCCTCCACAGTGCTGGGATTACAGGAGTGAGCCATCAAGCCTGCCTGAAGCTTTTAGAGGTGAAATGTCATGACATCTGTAATTTACTTTCAACTGATTTGGCAAAAACCAATTATGTAGGGGTCGGGGATTTAGCTCAGTGGTTTCACCCGCCTGCTGCACAAGCACAAGGACCCGAGTTCGATCCCCGGTACAAAAAAAAAAACAAAAACCAATTATGTGTGTATGTGTGTATGTATTAGAAAGTGCATGAACATAACTGTGGTGTAACTTTAATTGGTCGATAGTGGGAAAGAGTTATGGATGTTTTTGTGCTGATTTTTTTTTTTAGTTTTCTGAGACAAGTTCTGGCTATGTAGTCAGGCTGATCTTGAACTCACTAATAGCCCAAGGCTGGCCTCAAATTCCCAATGATCCTCCTGCCTCAGCATCCCCAGGACTGGGATTATAGGTGTGTGCCATCATGCCCAGCTTGTGTTAACTTTTTTTTTGTACCAGGGATGAACTCAGGACCTTACACTTGTGAGGCAGGCGTGAGACCACTGAGCTAAATCCCTGGCCCATTTTTGTTTTTTTGAGACAGGGTCTCGGTATATACTTCAGGCTGCTCTTGAACTCACTATGTTGCCTAGGCTGGCCTCAAACTCATGGCGATTCTCCTGCCTCAACCTCCTCCATGCTGGGATTACAGGTGAGCACCACCATACGTGGCTTGTGCTAATCTTTTATTTCTTTATTTAGGAAAAAAATAAAAAAAGAGAGGCGAATGGCATGCCAGGAGAGACCTCCATCAGGTCTGATCACTGCCCTTTGTGGTTGGAGCAGTGAGCTACATGTCCTCCTAACTGCACAGTTCAGCTCACGTGTCTCCATATTATCCATAAAAATATTAGGGAAAAAAGTGTAAGAAATCTTGCCAAAATCGGCCCCAGCATTGGCTCCTTCTGACCTCTGCTTACCGCCCTTGTCTGCAGCAGCACTGTGCTTTGGCTGCATACCCCACCAGCATCTGTGGAGAGCCCAGCCCCACCACCCGGCAGCTCCTTTAGCACAGTGAGGTGGGGTTGCCCAAGCGAGCACCTTGGCAACACAGGGCTTGTCTGACAGCCGTCCTCATCCCAGAGGACAAGAGGCAGGGGCTGATGCAGCCTTGCTTGGTGGCTAATTATATCCTCACGGCTGCTCCTGGTTCAAAAGTATGTTTTATGTCAGCTGGGCAGCAAGTCACTCGAGGGTAGTGAACCCCCACTACCTAGCATGTTGCCCTGGGAGGAACTCCATGGGGCTCACGACAATGTGAGGGTCCACCTGCTGGCCTGAGGGGCACAGATGCTCCAGTCTGCACCCCAGCACCGAAGCCTGGCTGACTGGAAACCCAGGAGGGCCTCTCATAGGGAAAAGTCTCATTTGAGCTGACTTCCTGTGGACAGAGTGGTTCCCAAGCCAACGACATGTCTGCTGTTCCCTCTGCCACTCTTGGATGGAGGCAAGTCTTTCTCAGCCAGGTTGGTGTTTGTAAAGAGCCCAGAGGGCAGCTTGGAAAAGGAGTACAGAAAAGAAAAGAGAAGAGAAAAGCAACACTTCCTCTGTGCCCACAGCCTGGGCTTCCTGCCTGTTCTCTCTGAGGTTCTCTCCCATGCACGTTCAAGAAGTTCAAAGGCAGAAGAGGGAAAGGTAAAATGTGCATCACAACTGGGCATAGTGGCACACTCCTATGATCTTAGCATTTGGGAGGCTGGGGCGGGAGGATTGATGCAAGTCTGAGGCCAACCTGGGCTGTATAGTGAGTTCAAGGCCAGCCTGAACTACATAGTGAGACCCTGTCTTAAAAACAAAAACAAAAACAAAAAGCAACCCACAACAAATAGCACATTCTAATACACTGTAAATAGGCCCAGACAGAACTTCTCCATGGTGAGAGATGTCAGACTCACATGCCTGTAGGCAGAGGAAACATCAGGGGTGAAGGTCTGTTTCTTGATCTGGAGCTGTTTTTCTGGGTACATGTAAATATTAAAATGGATCAAGCTGTAATATCTGTGCATGTTACTGTACATAAACTAAACAAAACGATATCCATAGCATTGGGGGAAGAAGAAAATCATGAGAGGAGTTATGGAAGAGGGAGAGAATGAAGAGAAACAAAGGATACCAGAGGACCAGGGATTTAGCTCAGTGGTGCCATGGCCTACCTTGCAAGCACAAAGCCTGAGTTTAATCCCTGGTACCAAAAAAAAAAAAAGAAAGGAAATAAAGGGAGTATAAATGCAAATATAGAGCAAATGAACACATCCACCTGGTGCCTCTCTGCCGGGTTCAGAACAAGGGAACAACCCGGGGCAAGCACTATAGTAGAGCCCTTAGTCCAGGCCACCACCAGCCTCACAAGCCATCAATACCCCTGATCAGCTGGGCATGGTGGAACATGCCACCTGTAATCTCAGCACTCAGGATGGCTGAAGCAGGAAGAACATGTGTTCCAGCTCAGCCCAGGCAATTTAACAATACCTTGCCTCAAAATTTTTAAAAAGGGAGATGGGCATGTAGCTCAGTGTGAAAATCCTGGAGTCAATCCCTAGTACCACACACACACACACACACACACACACACACACACACGAAAGCATCCCTAAGCACAGGCGGAAGTCCTCGGGCATGGATGGCCCCTCGTGGCAGTCGCTAGCCAGACCTCCCTGGTCCCTTTCCCACCCGGGGCAGCCTGGCTCTTAGCTCCCACAGTTTCACTCTGGGAATTGTTGCTTTGTTTGCTGACCATTGGGAGGGGCCTCTTGCCAAGCCCAGTGGAGCTTGAACCCAGAGGTCCCACCCGCCCCTCCTGGAGTAGACTCTGCCTCCTCCTCGTTCCCGGGTGCTGGCTGGCAGGCTGCCCAGGCAGGCCTTGCAGACATGAGCTGGCTGCAGCCCAGCTCCCTTGGCCTGGCCCCCTGCCACCATCCCCTCATGGCCCCGAGCCCTCCTCCCATGCCAACCTACAGCTGCATCTCCCCACACTGGCCTGGCTGGGCACACTGCTGCCATCTCTGCCCCGGGGGGCCAGGCAGCACAGCTGTGGCACCAAGACATTTTGCTGGGGAAGCAATAGCAGCTGGCACACCCTGCGTGCTTCAAAATTAGCCAATGACTGCCAGGTCCTGGGGCTGCAGCAGAGGGCACCCACCCAGGGCCAGCACTAACAGGGCCTTCAGATCTCTGGGGCAGTTCCAGCCAGGGTCTGGCTATGAACATAAATACATGGCCTCACCAGGTTGGTTCACAAAACCTGTGCTCCTCCCTGCTCCTTTGTCTTGCTCCTGTGAGGGGTAGGAGCACTACCTCAACCAGGCCACACAGTCCCTCTGACTCAGTTTCCCCATCTTTGATGGGGATACTGACAGCACCCTATCGGTATAACAGTACTAATAACCACTGGTGGGGTTATTATTGGGACACAGGAGGACACAGGACCCATGCAGTGAGTGTTGTCTTGGCTTGGTATGAATGTGCAATGTCCCAGGTACAGTCTGTGTCCTGGGCATGTGCAAGCTCACCCCTCCACCCCATCTAAAAGCTGCCCCACGGCCTCAACTGCTTTCCCCATCTCCAGTTCCGGCCGAGGACCCTGTTCCCGGCTCTGACCAGGCTGAGCTGCTTCCTGCAAATGGGGTGCTGAGGCCGCAGCTCCCACAGGGAGGAGAACCAGCCTGCCCGGCACGGGTGTGCCCGCCACCCAGCACCGCCCCCGTGGACCTGTTGGGGCCTGAGCCCCACTCCCTGGGAGGGGATCCCCCGCCCCACAGGGCTGTGGCGCAACAGCAGGGCTCAGTCTGTCCCTGCCCAGGCAGGGCAGAACATGAAGTTGCCACTGTCACTCCCCTGCACCCCCAACACGAGTTCACGGGACATTGTCTGTCTGGGGGGCCAGAAAGGGGCTGATCTTGCACCCATCACCCTGAAGGTGCACAGTGACTGCTCAGTGACTCTTCCCTGCTGTTGAACCCATGTAGCCACACAGGAGGCAGGTGCTAGGCCAGGTGGGGGGCAGGCGAAGGGCCCTGGAGACTCTCAGGTTCTCAAGATTCCAAGAGGCTATTAATCTGTGTCCGCATTTGCCACTGAATGCTTCCCCTAAATCCACTCTGAGTCCCAGAGCCCTAACCATCGCTGGTGAAGGCCAGGGATCAACCTTCCTTCCCAGAGCCTCAAGGTGTCCCCCAGCCCCCTCCTTCCCTCTCTCTAACCCCAAAGTTTCTTAGTCACTGGAGATTTCCTGCTGGCTGTACCCTTGCTCTGGGACAGAGTCCTGCTTTTGGCTGTATCGCTGGACTCCGAGCCTGGGCAGGGACAGGAGCGCCCATGAGGGTGGCACTCTGAGGGTGCCATGGTGAGTCGCCAGTCTGAGGAAAGCCCCTCCCACGGTGGTGTGCCCACCTGCCGCCCTAAAGCACACAGAAATCTGCTAGACAGGGTCTCACACAGCAGCCACCCAGGCCCATGATGCCCTCGCAGCACAATGTGCACACTGAGGTGGGTCGTGGGCTAGAGGATGCCACTCCAGACCTCTGGAGCTTCCAGGCCAATAGACTGCCTGCCCTGGTCGGGGAGGGGACTCTATGGGGCCCAGATGGCCTGGCCACCCAGGCTTGTGTCCAGTTTCCACAAGACTAGGCCTGTTCCAGCCAGCACCTCTTCTAGGGATGCTGTCTTGGGCCTTTTCCTGACAGCCTGTGGCCAGCAGCCCAGACCAAAGAGCCCCTCAGCCTCAGGGGCTTTAGGAGCTATAAATCACCCCAAGATTGACCTTTCTGGGGAGCAGGAATCACAGCTTTCGTCTTATTTTAAAAAGATCCTTGTCACATACATTTCTGCTCCCAAAACTGAAGAACCATTTTGGAGGTACACTGAGGATTGAACCCAGGCCAGACTGATCACTGGCTAAGTCCTCAGCCCTTTTTAGTTTTGTGAGACCTAACTAACTCCATTTTAAAGTTTGACTCCATCTTAAAATAAGACAGTGAGGTGGCCTTGACATAAATTCCACTTCACTGAAGTCAACTATTCCCCTAGTCTCCTTTGTGCCCATAAAATAATGATAAAATGTCCTTGCTGTGGGACAATAGATAAAAAGACATAGGTCCTAACTCAATCCTCTGTCTGCCCAGAAAACAGATGCTCCTGGGCCCATTATCTATAGAACATTCTGTCAATGTGCTGATTGTTCCTTTTTCCCATAAACTCTACATGCAGCCACCCCTCAAGCCCCCATGCTTGCTAAATATTGACCAATCATGTAACTGCTAAATGAAACATACCCAAACCTTGCAGTAACCACAATAAAAACCCTGATGATTTGGAATTCGGGGCTCTCAATCCTGATCCGCTGCGTCGGTGACGATTGAGTGCCCCTGCTCGAGCTTGAATAAACAACCCTCGTGTGTTTACATTGGAATTGGCTCCTTGATGGTCTTTGGGGACTTCGCGATCTGGACACAACAGTTTCAAGACAGGGGATCTCGCTAAATTGCCCAGGGTAGCCTTGAATTTGTGATCCTCCTGCCTCAGCCTCCGAAGTAGCTGGGATTACAGACCTGCACCACTACAACTGGCAGACAATCATTTCAAGTGAACTTTCAAGATTAAATTTGAAAGGAAATCACACAGGCTGGGTACATATCCAGGAGGATTGCAAATTTGAGCCCATCCTCGGCAATTTAGCAGTTTAGCTAGACCTCAACTAATCAAAAAAAAAAAAAAGGGCTCAGTGTGAAAGCTCTGAGTTGTTTGATCCCCAGTACTACAAAGAAAAAAAAAGTCACACTTCATCACTTCGTTGTGAAAGTTATATAACCCTGACATGAAAGCTGTGGCGCACTCTTATGGGTAATGTATTTCTCAGCACTTACTATAAGTGAGGCACTGAGCTGACCTTTTACATCGAATAATTTATTTAACCCTTGTAACAGAGGGAGACAGGAAGGGTTATATTCCCACTACACAGGAGAAACAGGAGCACGGAGAGGTTCAGGGATTTGCTAGGGTCACAGAAGCACTAAGTCTGGACTAGGACGAGAACCCAAGTCTGCTGCTTCCAGAACCCATGTGGACACTACAACCGGGCAGGATTTCAGGTTCTGTTTCAAATTACAGCCATCTCCTCACAACATAAGCTGCTCTACTTCCTTCCTTCTCCATTCTTCTTTTTTCCTCCCCCATCCCTTCCTTTTTCCTTTCCTCCCTTTCATTCAATCAACAAATGTTCCTTGTGCACTTGCTGCCTTCTAAGCACTGCTGAAGTTGAAGGAGACTGACATGGTGGCCTCATTCCCGAGCTTACATCCGGATCTCTATAACTGCTCTTCCCAGAGAACACCCATCCTGGCCCACATTTCTGTAGGCACTTTCATTCACTCATTCCTTTGTCACCAACAAAGGTAGTGGCCAGGGCCAACCTGGCAGAGCTCCAGCAGCGCTCCCGGGCTGCACAGGCTAGAATCCCACTGTTTCAACTCACTTCCGGAGCTGCTCCTCTGGGTTCCCTGGGCTCTGGGCTCTGGTTTCCATTAAGGCCCTCATTATGCGGCAGTAAAACATCATTTACACAGAACATCCCTCTCCTTCTGCTCTTCCCCAAGCTCCTCCAGTGCAGGGACCAGACCTGCCTAACTCAGGGTTTTAAATCTTCAGCCCCAGGGCAGAGCTCCAAACTAGCTGGCACCCTAAATGAATAAATGAGTGTTGTGCTCCAGTCTCAAGTCATTTCTAAACCATTCATTCCCATACTCTTCCAGGATCTTTTTGCCCACCTTCCTTTCATCTTGTTCAAAAGCTAAGGCACCGCAACAGTAGGGGGAGGACAGAGACTCATTTCTCTACTTTAGGGCTCTTCTGCCTCTAGTCTCAAAGGTTTGCTGGTATAGAAGATACAGTCCAGGGGCCGGGGATTTAGCTCAGTGGTTTCACCACCTGCTGTGCAAGCACAAGGACCTGAGTTCAATCCCTGGTACAAAAAAAACACACAAAACAAACAAACAAAAAAGAAGACACAGTCCATCCTCAAGTTACTACCAGCCTGACATACGTACGACTTGGGTTATGACCAACATTATAGTTTTAACTTACAGCCAGTCTTTTTTTTTTTCTTTTTCTGGTACCGAGGATCAAACTCAGGACCTCGCGTTTACAAGGCAGGTGCGGCACCACTGAGCTAAATCCCCAGCCCTACAACCAGTCTTGAGTTACGACCTGGATACCAACAGCTTGTGCTTTCAGATGGTCTCAGATACAGATTTAACCCTTAAAGAGTTCTGGAAGGAACATTACAGCATCCTTTCCTGTGTGGGGTTAACTGAGAAATCCTGGGCCAGTGTCTCTCTAAGTCACTGAGATCTGCCTGTGTATAGAAGAGAGACTTTGAAGGCTGTGCAGAGGAGCCTGAGCCCTCAATTGACCAGCCTGAGTTACAATCAGCCCTCGAGAACAAATTGAGTTCGTAAGTCAAGGGTCCACTATACAGTGTTTTGGAGAGTGGTAGAGTCCCAGGGCATGAGGCAACTGTATCACAGAGACTCAGCTCCCTGCTAGGCAAGGGACTTGGTTTCCCATCTTTAGTTCACTGATTGTCATGGTCCCTATCTTTTATTATTATTATTATAATTATTATATTATAATTATTATTATTATTTTGGTTTTTTGAGACAAAATCTCACTATATAGTTCAGGCTGGCCTTGAACTCACTCAGGAGCCCAGGCTGACTACAAACTCATGGCAGTCCTCCTGCCTCAGCCTCCCTAGTGTTTAAGATTACAGAGGGGGGAATGGGATAAAATAAAATTTATTTTTTAAAAAAAGATTATGGGCTGGGGATTTAGCTCAGTGGTTCTGCTGCCTGCCTCACAAGTGTAAGGACCCAAGTTTGATCCCCGGTACAAAAAAAAAAAATTCTAAAAAGATTATAGATGTTCACCACAAAACCCAGCTGCCATCTTTTATTTATCTTTCGGTGGTAGTGGGGATTGAACTCAGGGCCTTCACACTGAGCTATAATTCCTGGACTTTTTTATTTTTTATTTTGAAACAGTATCTCCCTAAATCACTACATTGCCTAGGCTGGGCTTGAACTTCACTTGATCTTAGCCAAAAGGGCGAGAAACAATTTGAACTTGCCTCAGCCTCTCAAGGTACTGGCACACCTGACCTTCTATGTATTTATTTAATTTCTTTTGTTTGAGACAGGGTCTCACTATGCAGTTCAGACAATTTAAACTCACTATGTAGCCCAAACTGGTCTTGAACTCATGCCAATCTTCCTGCCTCAGCCTCCCAAGTGCTGGGATTATAGGTGTGCAGCACCACACCTTGCTATTTTATTTCATTATTTTATTTCATTTTTTGGTAGTTGGGATGAGTCCCAGGTCTCATGCATGCTAAGCACGTGCTCACCACTGAACTACACTGTCAGTCCTAACCTCAGGTTTAGATCCTAGGTCACCAAGAGGCTGAGCCCTGGGTACAAGGACACACAGCCCATATTTCTCTGAAGTTCGTAGGAATAATCACCAAAGGAAATAGTCACAGACTCAGAGTCAGGAATCTGAGTTCAAATGCTGACCTTCCCACTAATGCACTGTGTTATCTGGGGAAGTAATTTAATCCCTCTGGTTCCACCTCCCCCTGTAACAGTGAAGGATGATATATATATTCCACAGTACTGGGGATCCAACCCAGGGGCACTATATCACTGAGCTACACATCCATCCCCAGCCCTTTAAATTTATATTTGTTGCCTAGGCAGTCCTCACACTTTCAATCCTCCTGCTTCAGCCTCTTAGGGTTAATCCTAACCCTAACCTTAAGTACCTGGGTGCCACTACTTTTGGTGAAAATGAGGAGACGGGAGAAAATGATTCCTAAATCTCTTCTAAATTCCTTAATAGGGGCCAGGGATGTAGCTCAGCAGTGCAGTGCCTGCCTGTCCAGCGAGAGGCCCTGAGTTTGATACCTGGTATCAAACAAATTCCTTAATAGTTCCAAAGCATCTATGAGAAAAAAGTTTAATCTACATTTGTTCCCCAGTTCTTTTAAAAATCAATACTTACAAATATCCTGTGATTACCTATTTTAAAAAAAGCTGGGTGTGGTGGCACACACATGTAATCCCAGCAGTCTGTAAGGCTGAGGCAGGAGGGTTGCAAATTCCAGCCCAAAGAGGGCAATTTAGCAACTCAGTGAGACCCTGTCTCAAAATTAAAAATAAATAAAGGTCAGCAATACAGCTCAGAATGTGAGCCCTGGGTTTAATCCACAGTACGTGTGTGGGGGGGGGTCGTCTTGTAATTCCTAACTCAACAGGCTCGAATTCAGTAAATGTGGCCAAAGGCTTTGACCTTCACAAGCGACCCAGAACTCAGGGGTCCCTTTCGTGCTAGAAGAGACTAGCTGTGGAGAGATCACAACGGCTTCCCCTCTTAGACACTCAACCCCCCGTGTTGCTCAAACAGCAGGAAGAAGCCATGACCCAGGGCCTAACCCAGAGGTCACAAGCCCGAGCATTTCGAAGAGGGACCCAGGCTGTTCCCCCGACTGCGATCTCGGGCCACGGTTCCCGTTGCACGACTAGAGGGTGGCGAAGGGAGTGAGAGTAAAGGATTCCGCGCGTAGGGCCCCCGGTGCCATGGGAACGCGGGCCAGCCTCCTCGCTGCCATGGCAACGTGCTCGCGAGTGGCGATCGCGGGTGCCCGTCAGCACGGCAGGTGGTGCCCTCTGGGGGAGGGGTGCCCGGAGTGGGGGTGGGGGTGGGGTGGGTCTGGGGCCCTGCGCCTACCTGGAGCGTCACCGGCCCTGGCGAGGCTCCTCCGCCCCGCGTCCCACGTGCTCGTTCCCGCGACAGCCCGCTGACGCCAGCCCTGGGGACTCGGAGTGTCCTGCGGGCACCCTGGGTCCGCGCGCGCAGTGTCCTCGGAACTGCTGGGCGCCCGCCAGGCCCCGCCCCGGCCGGCCAGCCAGCCACCCAGTGATTCCAGGAACCGCCCGGGCGCCCTCGGTCCCTCCGCAGCCCCCGCCTCAGTGTCCCCGCCGGGTAGCGCCCCGCGCACGCGGCCAAGGGGGTCGCGGGGTCCTTGGCTCTGAGCCCTCCGACCTCGGGAGGCCTGGCCAAACTTAACCCGGGCCGGGGTGGGGGTGGGGGTGGGGGTGGGGTGGGGTCCCTTGCAGGATCTGTGTCTGGAGGAGCTGGAATCCGAGGTCCACACTACCTAACCGGCTGTATTAGCCCGGGCGGGTCCCGCGACCTCTGAGCCTGAGCTCTTCCGTGCAAATCGGGCCCAGACCAGGGGCCCTCGCCGGGCTGGGGGGTTATGGGGAGCACCTGGGCCGCTCTCGGACACCGTGGCGTTCCCAGGACGAGGCCGGGAAAAGCAGGCAGAGCCGAGCAATGCTGCTTGCCTCCGCCCCGCACCCTGTCATGGGCAGAACGGGTAAAAGGAAAGACGAGCTGGGGAGGGCTGAAAGATACGGTTATAAATATCTCTTTTTATCTGTGACCTTATCCTGCCCTCCCCAGCCCTTGCGTCCTGGTCCTGTCTTCCAAGAAAGCAGCAGCAGCAGCTTTCTGCGAGGCGTCCGAAACAACCAGTTCTGGGCGGCTCCTCCGCTGAGCTGGCAGGAGTCAGCAGGTCAGGGGGGCCGAGGAAAAACCGAGGCCAGTCGGGTACTAACCTAGCCAGGGCTAGAGGCCTGAGCATGCCTCGTCCCCTGCCTCGGTTCCGCCGAGCTGCCGGGGTTCAACAGAAAAAGAACTGAAGTGGTTATTTTGTTACATGTTTGTAGAAATTAACGTGCTTACGACCGAAAAGTTGAAGAAGTGTATTACCCATAATTTCACCTTACCCAGGTGAACTATTAACTAGTGTGAAGATTTTTAAACACTTTTTGGTTGAGGGTGTAGCTCAGGGGTAGAACATGTGCTTAGCGTGCACAAGGCTCTTTGACCCCAAACACAAGAAAAAAAATTGAAATTAAAAATAATTGAGATGTAATTTACATGAAGTAAATTGCCCAAACCTTACATCTACTGCTGTTACTGTTCTAGTCAATATCCTTCTGCCTCTTTTCTGCACTGTTATACATTTATATCTTTTTTTTGGTACCTGGCATCTAACTCAGGTCCTTGCGCTTGCGCAGCAGGCAGTGAAACCACTGAGCTAAATCCTCAGCCCTTACATTTATATCTTTTTGAAAAAGGATTATTCAATACTCACCTCTTTGTGACTTTTCCTCTTGGACAGCAATATATCACATTTTTTTCATAACATTAAAAATTATTGGGGCTGAGGATTTAGCTCAGTGGTTTCACCGCCTGCTGCTCAAGTGCAAGGACCCGAGTTCGATCTCCGGTACCAAAAAATAATAATAATAATAATTATTATTATTATTCACAGGCGTGGTGGCGCACATCTGTCATCCCAGCACTCGTGAGGCTGAGGCAGAAGGATTGCTGTGATTTTGAGGCCATCCTGGAGTACTTAGTGAGTTCAAGGCCAGCCTGAACACTACATAGTGAAACCCTGTCTCAAAAACAAAACAAAACCAAAAAATTGCATATTTTCAATTTAATCCATTCCATCATACAAAATGCAACACATTTTAAAACAAGTCTCTACTATTGAAGGTTATACTGCTTCTAACTTTTCATTATCTTAACTGTCCAAACATCCTTGTTCATAACCCTTTGCAAACCTACTTCCTCAGTTCTCTCCTTTTCCTCACCCAGTTAGTAGTAAAACACCGTGGTTATGGCCAAGGCTGTGGACTTTATGCAAATGCTTTAAAAGTCCCCCCAAATAATGTGGGGGGGGGCGGTGAGGGAGCACTGCTTGCTAAGGACCTGAAGGCACAGCTAAATTAGGGTCTTGCCAAAGGTCATCCAGGCCCTGGAGGCCAGGCAGAAAGTCAGTGCCCCCTGCTTCCCAGCTCCTCCATGGGGTCTCTGCGCCCTGGAGGTCATTGGCTGCTGTGACCCATTTGGTACCTGGGCCCCCCCCAGCCCCAAAGAGAAGCATGTTTGCCCCACCTCCTGCCTCCCCAGCATCCTTTCCTCCTCCTCCCTCCACACTTTTCCTGCACCTCCTCTCCCTCCAGCCTTCAGCTGAGTAAAGGAAAAGATGTTCGGGTTCAGGGTCTAGGACCAAGGTCCTAGCCTTCACATTACTGATGTGTCCCCCTGCCCCACCCGTGGAGACCTGCCCTTTCCTCTCAGGGAGCAGGTGCAGGCAAGGGGGTTCTATCTGTTCAGTTCTGGGCACTGCATCATCCCTGGTCACGGGGCCTTGATTAATGTCCCTGCTGTTGTCCTACCTCCCACCCCTCCCCTACAGACCACCAAACTAAGGGATTGAATATGTTTGCTTTTGTTCTTAGGGTTCTTGAATTTGTACAGTGGAAGTGTAGCTTTGGTTGTCTTTACTCCTTTCTTTTTCTTCTTTTCTGGTACCGGGGATCAAACTCAGGACCTTGCGCTTGCAAGGCAGGCTCAATGGCACTGAGCTACATCCCCAGCCTGTTTTTACTCCTGTATTTTGAAATAATTATACACTCCCAGGAAGTTGCAAGAAATAGATCAGGGAGCCCTAAAGAAGTTTTTCCCAACAATGACATTACATAACTGGAGTGCCCAGATCAAGAAATGGGCCTAAGGATTTAGCTCACTGGTGCCAGGCCTGCCTCACAAGCACAAGGTCCTGAGTTCAATCCCCAGGGCAGCAAAAAAACCCCAAAAAATTAAAATTTGTTTTTTTTTAAAAAAAGAAATGGGCACTCAGGGCGGGGGATTTAGCTCAGTGGTTCCGTCGCCTGCCTTGCAAGCACAAGGTCCCGAGTTTGATAGCTGATATCAAAAAGAAAAAGAAAGAAAGAAATGTGCACTAGTACAAAACTACTAAATTGACTATAAACCTTATTATTCAGTTTTTATATGTCTTTATTTATGTGGGTGTGTGCACCCCATATATGTGCATAGTTCTGTGCAGTTTGACCCCAGGAATAGGCTTATGTACCCACCCCATAATAAAGATACTACAAAGAAATTCCTCATCTCACACTCCTGTCCCCTTGTTTTTGTACCTGTCCCCTGGCAAAGGCTAATCTCTTTACAGTTTTGTGGTTACAAAAATGTTATCTAGCCAGTTGGAATGGCATATACTTGTTTTTTAGGTTTTTTGGGGGGGTACCTGGGATCGAACTTGGGACCTTGCCCTTGTGAGGCAGGTGGCAGAACCACTGAGCTAAATCCCCAACCCCAGTTCTTTAGTTTTTTGAGACAGGGTCTCCCTATGTAGTTCAGGCTGATCCTGAACTCACTGTGTAGCCCAGGCTGGCCTTGAATTCATGGCAATCCTCCTGCCTCAGCCTTCTGAGTCCTGGGATTATAGGCATGCACCATCATGCTTGGCTTGCAGTAGTATATACTTATAATTTCAGCACTCTGGGAGGCTGAGCCAGGAGAATGCCAAGTTCAAGCCCAGCTTGGGTAATTTAGTGGCTTAATGAGACCTTGTCTCAAATAAAAAATGAAGAGCTGGGGATGTAGTGCAAAGGCCCTGGGTTCAGTCCTCAGTACTCCCTACACACACACACACACACACACACACACACACACACACACACACACACAGAAAAACTTACATGAAGTGAATCACATGATGGGTAATCTTTTGAGATATGCTTCCCCTCTCTGTAATGCCTTGGAGGTACATGTGGGTTTGTGTGTGTGTGTGTGTGTGTGTGTGTGTGTGTGAGCTCTTTCTTTTTTTAAGTGATCCCCCTGCCTCTACCTC